CCCTACAGTTTTTATTTGAGCTGGAGACTGGGCTTGTGCCTGAGCCTGAATCTGTGGGACCTGCACCTGAGCAGCCTGCTGCTGCTGCTGCCTCAGAAGCTGGAAGTGAGCAGGGGTGATTGTTTTGCCGGACAGCTGGACTGTTGGCGTAGCTGTGAATAAAGAAAAAACAAAATGCTCTGAAGAAAGACTTTCAACATTCAGTTTAATTCACTGATCTCACCTGAAAAACCAAGCTGTCAAATGCATATTTTTCTGCTCCAGCACAGTTTGTGGACTAACTACAAATAACAACACATTAGCACAAACATGATGTAAAAGCAGAGTAAATAATAAAATACATGCTCCTTTCTTCCCGATGGTTTTCAGTCGAGACAGTCAATTCTAATACTTTACTGCTAGATTATTAATAATCTTTTGAAATTGTAATGCCCAGGGGCCAAGCAGCTCTCTACTGCAACACTTTATCCAGAAATACCAGAGAAAAAGTTAATCTGAGCACCAACAATAAAGCAAGTTAAAAATCACAGCACTGTTCCAATTGTGCTGCCAACAAATCCAGGCTTTCAATACTGCAGTGGTCAAGCAACCTAGAGAAATTCTGGGGCCCTTCACGTACCCTCGGAAAAAAAATTCCTAAACACATGATTATTACCTGGTGTAACCTGAGTCACCAAAGATCTTGTCTGGGTCTGCACGGGTGTTAAGTTTGTAGTTACAACTGCTGATGCTGTCACTGATGTTACTGCACGAACTCCCTGGGTCGATGCGATGGTCACCAGTTCTGTAGAAGCAGCAGGTGCTGCCGCAGTTCGCTGCTGGGTATGTACCACTTGTGCAGTCGCAGTGCCTCCCGAAGTCTGAAAAGGAGCACGGTCATTATTTCTCACAGTTTCTATACCTCATAGAAAGCTATGGAACCTTCTGGAAATGGACTAGACAATTTTAGAAACAAACATCAAAAATGGAAAAGCGCTGCAAAAGCAAAGAAGGTCCAAACCTTTCTAACACACCTATCTGCTCAGATACATCTCATAATCAGCACCTGGTTAAATCTTTTTCAAACAGGCTGATCGCCAAACTCTTAACTACATTACAGAAAGCTGGTTTTACTACCTTCCAATTTTTTGCTTTATCTTCCATAGTCTTAAACCACTAAAGTAATAATAAAAGATCATCGTTAACAAAGCACAAAACAGTTACAGGCTGGAAATGATAATGGCTCAATACACTGCCTATGACAGCACTTGCCTACGACCTAGTTTTAACAGTAGCATCTCTCAGGCACTTTTTTGATAAACTGTTCCAGTGTGTTCTGATATTTCGGTAAGGGAGAGGGGTTTGATACAGAATCACAGGACGCATATGAACTTTGCAAGAAGCAGAGTTTCTGGTAACATGGAAAGCTAAAGAAGACGACAGACATGCTCATAAAACACGCAACCCAGATCAGCCCAGGGACACAACTGAGGATGCAATCTACTCACAGTCAACGTGCCGGGTATAACGGGTGAAGCCAGACGTTTATTGATGGGCTGAAAGGTAGCAGCAGGGACTCCAGCAACGGTATTCACTATGACATTTCCACTCACTGTAGCTGAAAGCAAGCCAGGATTAAATGTGAGATTCTAAAAATGAAAATCCAAATGCCCTATCATCTCCAATGCTCAATTATAAAGTCTTCTTACCAGTCTGTATACTGGTCCCCGTAACTGCTGTTTTGATCGTGCCCGCCTATTTAGAAGACAATTGAGGTAACAGTTCAGAAAAATAATAAAATAAAACTGAATATAGCTCTTACTCTATTATGCTGTTTAACACAATGCTGTATTCCAGAAGTGACAAAAGAAAATGCAATAAAATGCACAGCTACTTCTGCAGTTGTTCATTCATTCTACATATCAACAAGTAGTGGTGGATATATTAGGACTCTCTCACACTAATGAGCAATTGGAGACCAGCCAAATGTTTGGTAAATCCTGATCATTTGACATCCTTGTTAGCAGAAGAAGGGAGCAATATCTTACTCTGGTGTGCCAGAGCCAACCACTCACAAGGAACATCACTGAGCAGTAGATGCACAGCAATACTTATGGGTCAGAACCCATCCTCTGTCTCTTTCTGTAAAAGCTGTAGCGTTCTCGCCCTTCAACAAGCAAAATAAAATCACCACTGCCTGCACACATTAGTATGAAAACTGGACTGGATTGGCTCTAAAAACAAAACCCTCGGACCTGTTATCAGATTCATTAAGAGACTAGATTTAAGGAAGCCATGAAAACTTTGCACAGATCTGCAATAAAACAACCACAGTAGCTCCTGTAGGATGCCACATTCCACTTGCCTTGCAAAGGTTAATAAAGCTTTGTTTTTTAAGCTACTTCAACAGAGTAGCTCTTATAGCTACGTCCTCTTTATTCTCCAAGTTCTCTGTATAAACACTGTCCACTGACTGCGTAGATGTATCTGCTCAGACTTGATTAAATTAAAGTCTAAACTGAAAAAGGAAAAAAATCTTTGCAAAGGGTATGGTGTTTTTCCACCTCAGAATGCCAAGACCTATTGCTATAACGGGTAAGAATACAGTCTTAATAAATGAGCAAAAAAGAAGATACCCAGCATACACAGGGAAAAAAAAAAAAAGAAAGAAAGAAAGAAAGAAAGAGCTTTTATCTCACTGTAGTGATCTAAAATTCTCACTTTCCAGAGAAGATAAAACATGCAAACATGGTACACACAGTAGAACTGAAGTTACTACATCAGAGGCACCAAGCCCTCCCTTTCTTACCAATACTGCTGTGTTGGCCACAGTAGTTACTGCAGTCTGCACTACTGCCTGCGGCTGCTGAACTACCTGTGCCTGAGCCTGCGGCTGAGGTTGGGCTTGTGCTTGCTGTACAGCTGGTTGCTGAGCTTGCTGCTGGCCAGCTTGCTGCTGCTGAGGCTGTGGGCCTGTCTGTTGCTGTGCCCTCTGCTGTTCAGCCAAAGCCTAGGAAAATCAAAGTGTGAGCTTCACAGTCTTCAAAACAGTGCATGTAACAGTCAGGATGTATTTGTTAACAAACAAAACAACACAACACAACAAACAGAACCCCTTTAATTGTAAGCATGTATTACATATGTGTGTGCAGAGACAGCCTAAAAATCTGTCTTCACTGTAACTCTCTAATTCCAAGCACATGACCCAACCAGGTTCAAACTGTAAGCTATACGCACGATGACATGGCTCAGTGCATAGCACAAACAGCGATTTGCCATCCACAAGCAAGGACAAGTATCTCTTTCTGAGTAACGTAAGGAAGGAGGCTACAGAATGGTCAAGATTTCCAAAAAGATGCTTCTAAACAACGAGTATGAGTATGACATACAGGCTCAAGGAAAGGTCCCTCTTTGGAGCTTGGCTATCTAAACCCTAGCACGTGAACAATTTGCAGCTGCTCACAACACCTACTGTACCACCAAACTTCTCCCAGGAGGAAGCTTTTCTCCTACTTCCTCTGTTGTCTGACTTTTTAACTACTGCAGTCACACATATAGCTGAGATGGAGACCATACCTTTTTCTCTTTTGCAATACGTTCTGCGCGGAGGGATGCAACTTGAATCGGAGGAAGTGGCTTATCATAGTTGATTCCACTAGAAACAATGATAAGACAAAGCACACAATCATTGAAAATACATAACTGAAAGTTAAAAAAGAAAAGAAAGCAAGCACTTTTATGCAATTCGTAACTCCTTTAAGACAGACAGTGCCCACCTTTCTGCGAGCACTGATGCATGCTTTGGATTCTTCTGGAAAGGATTCATGCCAAGTCTGAAATTGAGCAAAACTGTATTACTGGAGACAGAAAAAAACCCTTAAAACCAGTATTTAATTTCACATGTTTTAGCAGGTGACACTGCCGTTTTGGTGAAGTTTTCATGACATTTCCACCAGTACTGGAGCCTGCATACAGATAGGCATTTTAACAAAGACTCAGAGTAAATATGAAATGAATATAGAAAAACTTACTGCAGGAACTTACACAGAAAACAACATACTAGTAAACAGCATAGACATCAAAATGTTTACAATTCAGGCAAATGGAAAGCGTAGTTTGTAAGGTAGATGAAAAAACCCAACAACTAAGTGCTCTCCTGCTCTTAATCACACAAAACAAACTAATGCAGAGAGTAAAAGCTAACCCAAACACATGAAATATGAAGGTGTTCCAATCACACAAGGCCAGGACCCAAGGAAAGAGATCAAGAACAGAGGAACAAAACAGCTGTTTGAAACAGAATGCAAAACAACTTTTGGTTGTGAGAGCAATTCAGAACACAGTTTCCAGGAGATCTGTGGCGACAGGGAGATCGAATGACTCCAGTTAAACTTACAGAGGTTTGATAGGTGGACTTCTTTTCCCTGCAATCATTTTCATCATCTCAAAATGATTAGTATAAAGTTGCGTGTGGGTTGCACCCTCATCTTGAGCATAGATCTGATTGGTACGAAGTGGGCGACTGTTTTTAGTCTAAAAAACGAAAATAAACCAACTTTCAATTGCGAACACACCCACATGGCGTTCTGTCTACGTATTAACACATGGTGCGCTTGTAGATTATTTAAAAACGTACTCCAACATATCTATCACAGACTGGTTTCTGCCTCGAGTCACTGATAACTTACTGTTACACAAAACTCTACGGGAAATATATAAAGAAAGAGCAAAATAAGGAGCAGTTCTCACGGTCACACTGGCATCAGCACTTGGGGACATACCAAATGGCAAGCTCTAATTTGAAAAAGAATCTTTGCTTTAGTTTAGATTTTGCAAGTTTAATTCAGTACCCAAACCAAGAGCCCATTAGTTTATAGTTATGCATAGCGCACACATAATGTAATAAAACCATCACTGCACTGCTCTCCCAGCAAAGCTACGTTAACATCCAACACACCATGCCAGTCTAACGTTTGGCTTCTCCTAAGCAGAAACTGCCAGTCAGGGACAAACCTGCTTATTAGTCAGAGAATGGGACTACGGTTAGAAGTTCTAGATCCTCTACCCAGTCCTGTCACTAAATTGCTGTATGGTTTGGAAGAAGTTGTTTATAATCGTGGAATTTATTTCTGTTTCTGTGGCGTACTATCATCCTCATTTACTAAAAGGTGCTTCAAGCATTAAATTCACTATATATTTGTAATCCACTTAGACTCTAGCATGAAGTACATTCGCACAAATCTTAAGTATCACCATAATAATCAGGATAAGTTACATGGTGGTTGTTAGGTGGCAAAATACCCACTACAGTTTAAGTGAAATCACAAACTTCTTGCATGACTTAAAATTTATCTAACAAATCCAAAAGCTGAAGTCTGGTGTCAATCCACTGTATCAACAAAGAAAGGAAAAATAAATTTGGAATTTTAATTGATGTTTCAGAACTCAAGTAACACTCAACATGGATCTCATATGAATTATCTGCCCACCTCCATTGCTGCTAAATACCACACAGTGTCTAGATTTGATTTTGAAAGAATACCAATGCACACCTTATAAATACTTTTTGTCTTCTTTTTAGGATTAGCTTCGTACATTAGCTGTAAAATAAGAAGGAAAGTTAGATGATCTTTTGTGGAAGATTTTGTTCAGGTGCTTTTTCTTTTCAAAGAAATCACATAAAATAAGTGGAAATCCTGATGAGGATAATTTTATAATCTTTTAAAAGTTATTTATTTACACTGTTGAAACATTTAACAAAAAACAGGTGTTTATGGAGATAAGGAAAAAAAACTCTACAAACTTAAGGTAAAAAAAGACGCATCATTCTGTGTAAACTCACCTTTCCTTCTTCCCTTGGAATAATGACATTTTCGTATCTGTTTCGGCATTGTTTTGGTGAGCGATAGACTCTGCTGCATGAGTTAACAACATCACTAACAAGGTCCCAATTGGGAGTGTGTGCTGGCGAGACAACAGCAAGATTTAAAGGAAGCTCCAGCAGCTGCTTCACTGCCTACAACAGATAAAGGTACAAAAGCTCCAGATGACAAATCGTTCCAAACCTATCCTTACCCACATTGTCCACACACCACTACAGCGATACAGATAGCTTTGGGCTCACCCTATGGGTTCACCCACACTCACAAAGACTAAAAAAGCATAAAAATTATGCAGGCTGACGTGCAAGAGAACTTGGAGACTGGTGTAAGAGGAACAGAGAGCTGCCATTCAAGTGCTGCTCTCAAAGGCGGGGAGAACTTTAGCTGCCTTATCCAATGTCCAGCCAGCCCAACTAATCTGGAACGTAACAGTAAGTGGCCACTACAACAAAAACAGGACTTAATCATGCATTTTGTAGTTTAACATTTAATTTATCCTTAGAGGAACACAAATGATAGGCAATCTGTTCAGAGTTATGCGAGCAAAATGCCAAACTAGCCATTAAGAATCAGAAATAACCTTGAAGAGCTAAAGTGCAGAAAGAGCCATTTCTGAAATCAGAAGCAAAAATACAATAAACAAAACCAGCAGAAAGTGCAGGTATCATCTGACCTGCAGAAGTGCCCAGTCTTCACTGATCAACCACTCTGGATTATCCTGTCCAGCCTCAGCAGCTGGTTTGACAAGAGTTGGCAAAGGCTTTGCAAACTGGGTTTGTTGTTTCAACAGGATGTTCTTCTTCTGCTCTTTGCCCTCTCGGCGCATTTTCAACATTCCCGGAGTTGCTCGATCAAAAAGTGAACGAGGTGGAATAACTGTCTCTCCATGACGTTGCTTTTTCTTCCTACCTGCAGCTAAAGCAAATAAAAAATCGTTCTTGGTTAATAGTTACTACCCTTCTTTCATTCCTCTGCTACTTATAGCCTCAAAATGCTCCTACATGTGTAGAGAGTATTCCCCACTGCCTCTTAAAAGCGTACCATCAGGAACTAAACAGACCCTGCTATAAAGTAAGATCAGCCTCGTCCTAACTCACATAGTAGAATGCCTTTTTTCTAAAATCATTCTCTCAAAAATGCTTATATATCTAAATAGAAAAACACACCAAGAGAACTGGGGCTTCCAGTGATTTTATCGCTTCAAGAGCGCGGTGAGACAAGAATTTTCATCTCTTCAAACCTGCAAATTTGATCTGTACTGGATCAGACAAGTAGGATGAATGAAAAATTCCCTGGTTTTTTCAACTTTCAGCAATAAATCTCAGAACAGTTTTGAAGAAACACTTACCAGATGGATCTGTTTTGTGTCGTTTACGTTCCTTCCTGACATACACTGGAGGCAACTTTGACTCTGGAATAGGGGTGGTATCATACATCAGGCACATAACAGAATCTATGTAGATATCATTGTCATCCTGAGGTGGCGTGGGAGGAGTCCAAAGCTATACGGAACAAAATTTGTAGTTACTGCAATATTAACTCTCCACTGATCTTTATGACTCAAAAAAATAAAAAGCCTATTTAGACAGCCTGGTGTCACTTCTACTTACTGGCATTATTTCCGTTTGTCCATCTGGACCTTCATAGACATATTCCTGCACAGCAAAAAAAAAAAAGAATACAATTCAAATGATCCAACTGAACCCTGAAGGAAAAGGTATTCTCAGAATAACTGTTAAGAAATACATTATTAGGAAAAACAAGACTAATCAGGAATTACTTTGTTGTATGCATCCTCCCGAGTGTAGGTTAGAAGTTCCTCTTCATCCTCCCAAAGCATTTTTTGCTCTTTTTCCTTTAACTCCTTCATATGCTGGACTTCCCATGCTTTCTTTGCAGTTTTCAGTTCCATCTAGATGAAAGTCAGACTCCTTATAAACTTCATGCAGTAACAGACACTTGATTAAAAGTTACCAATTTGGTATTTTTATGGACAAACTCCTTTGACATTTTCAGGCATAGAAATCTCACAGCAATTTCTTAACAAATACTTTCACAATCATTTAGAAGATAATTTATCATCTCTGTTGAGTGTCTTCAAACCCTCAAAATAAAGCAAACTCAGAATTTCAGTTAAACAACCAAGACAACCAGATCACAGCTCCTTTACCCAAATAGGCAAGCTCACTGAAATTAATGAAATTTTTCCCCCCACTGTCAATGGAATACCACAAATATTTGCTGAGCTGTGCTGAAGAATGTCATTCCCATTTTACAAAAAAGAAATTAGGAACCAAAAGAATCCCAAAATAATAAGCTTTCTGTAAGGCATTCTGGTGTTCATAAGGCACAGCAAGAGAAGAGCAAAGAAGTGCCTACAGTATATTCCACGTCATTGGAGAAACTTCCACTTCACATTGAAAATATAACCCTGCCTGCACATACTGTGACAGAACAACATGGAAAAGAAAGACTTGTTGTTTTACCTCATTCAACTGTGGCTCATTCTCATCAACTGAAACGTGGAAGAGCTCTAAATAATTCAAAGCATATTTCTCAATTGGAGTCAGCTGAGAGAATGTATCAAGGGAAAAAAAAAGTTAGTATTGAGAATAATAAAAGAATGTTAACTGAAGGAGAGTGTATCAAAGCTCTCCTTAAAACCCTCTCTGATGGCTTAACATCTTAAGCCAGTAGACCTCCCATCCGTTTTATGGGAGTATCAACCCCATAGACAACAGTTGCTTTAAGGCCAGACTGCAAAGAAATTGAAATACTTTAACTAAACATTACTTTTTAACCTAAAATTCATGGAAAGTCATAGTACCTGATCCACAACAGCAACTAACTCCTGCAGCTGTGAGGGCTCTTCATTGTATTTTGTCTCGCAGAGCTCTGAGATTAAAGGTTCGATGCTTGACTCAGGTCCTATTTCTTGTACACCATCATTTGACTCCTCATCCTCTCGCTCAATACTGTTGAGGGCCTTTCAGAAAGACATATTTTAAAAATAATGAGGATTTCAAAAAGAAACCTCACAAGACTTCTTCAGTAAGTCTCCACTAAGGCAAGAGAAACAGTCCCCAGAAAGCGTACAATTCAACTGCGGGCTTTTGGAAGTTTTGTTACGAGGAAAATGACAAAACAACATAAAACCACCAGGAAAAGATTGACAGGATTTACGCAAATTAAAAAAGGTAAGGCAGCTGTTTAACACCAATGCTGCACAGCTGTATTTTTAATGGATGTGTTATAATTACCTCTATGAATGGTCTTGCAACTTTAGGTGAAATATTTTCTGATGGAGATGGCTCTTGAGAAAGTACTACAAATTCTTCTGCTTTCACTCTAAATCCAGAATCCTCCATAGGAGAATGAACTTCAAACAATTCCTGAATTGTTTGCTTGGTAAGCAGAATAAAAAAAAAAAAAAAAAAAGTACATTCAGCTTTCGGGATTATTCTATTTCTTATATAACTTTTATTTAGCTCAGGTTCAAGTGACCTTATAAACTATGGACCGACTAAAGAAAAAATAAACCTTTATCTATAATTTCCTGAAAATTGTCCGTTTTCTCTTCTGTAACTTTCTCCTGTAGGACTACAGAGTAGAATAAAATGTTAACAGTTCATTTATAGGAAAGTCAGAAATACACACGGTCTCATCCTGCAGCACCCCACTGGGAGTGCCAGAAGGGGATGGACTAGTTTCATTAGTGCAGTCACTGTCTTTTGCATCTTCAGAGCAGGAACTGAGAGCCTATCTCCCTAAACACCCACATTTATCTCACATTTTTAAAGTTGTTGAAACCTTCGTCTTCACAAGCTCTGCAGAATTTTGCAGCAGGGTGCAAGAAACCAGAACATATTAAGTGATGTAGATGATGCCTGCGCATCATTATGCAAGTAACGGAACAAAAGCAGACGGACGGTATTTGAGAGAAGGCAGCCCTAACACCTAGAGTTCAAGCAATCATGAAATTAATATGCTTAGCTATCAATTCTAGCCCAAACCAACTTCTGCTAAGCTGTTATTAAACACTCCAGCACAGATGCCTGAATTTATTAAACGCTCCAACACAGGTGTTTGAACATATTTTGGGTATTAGCCTACCTGTGTTAAAAAGGCCATTGAATAGTCATTTCCCTGAGCAGCTACTTCTCTGATCAAGTCCTTTGTGCCATTTTTCAAAAGCTTCTCTTCTACAGAATTACCACTGACAAGCCTAAAAGGAAAAAGAAAACAATAGAAATCTGATAAGTCATTTCCAAACCAGCTTTCAGACACAAAAAGAGAAATTGCCCTCAGAGAATAACATTGGACTCTTAAAATGTGGGGGTTTGTGGGGGTTTTTTTCGTTCTGGTACAAGCAGAGAACAAAACACATACTACCACCTCTAATTTAAAGCTTTCTTTTAACAATTAATGCAATTTTTAAAAAATATTAAAAAAACACCTCCAAAAATTCCAAGTAAACTAACAGACAAAAAACATGCAGGTATGATGCATTAATTACATTTGGGGTGAAGAAAGACCACATTTTCACATGATGACCTGGCATCTTTTTTTATTGAAGTGAGATGAACTTTTCATCACTGTTTCCATTTTATTTCAGATCATACAGAGTAGCACTATCTGTATTAACCTTACATTAAAGCATGTTAAAGAGCAGTCATTGATCTGTAACCATCACCTGTATATATGGATATCTTTACATCTCCCAATCCTGTCACACCATTCCTGAGCTTTTGCATCCATCACTGGGTTTAGATCGTTGTCATAAAACACGACAGTGTCTGCCTCAACAAGATTGACTCCAGTGGAACGACTATGAGAGGAAAGGATGGCACAGAAAATGCGCTTGTCTCTGTTGAAAATTTTCATCAGCTCCTACAGAAACAGAAAGCAAGGAGTAAATAAACCATACACCACAATAAAATACCTAACCAAATTCACTATAACTTAATAAAAACCAGACAAAAACAAGGCAAGTGTTTCAAAATGAGAAGAAACAAGGCAACTGGCCTTCCCCCTGCTGCAGCATATAAAAGCCTGAGCAGCACGTATCGCTGTACCAGTGGACAACCGTTGGGGCAAACTTACCTGCCGTTGTTCATGGTTAGCATATTCATCAATCCTCACAAACGTGAGGAAATGGAAATTCAGGAACAATTCCAGAATGTCCAACATCAGAATCATCTGTGACAAAATCAGCACACGGCGCCCTTCAGATTTCAACTTCTGAAGCAGGACAGCAAGAGCTTCTAATTTTCCTGTATTTCAAACAAGAAAATCAACAATGGTTTTATACAGAAATTCCATTTCTGTGAAACAGGAAATTACTGAAATATTATCACCAAGGGTCCTCCTTTACCTGAGTCATACTGCACCAGCCGGAGGTCAGGGAACTGTAGCAAGTGAGGAGCTGTAATCTGTTGCAACTGATGCAAGTGTGGAGCTGCCTTCTGCTTCAGACTGTGCTTAAGGAGTTTCAATCTGTGACTATATGAAGGGGGAGGATTTGCTACATACAAACATGGGGGAGCAGCAACTGCAGCTGGCAATACAAAGAGAGCCCTGTGAAAAGCATCAAAACAAGGGAATCCCAGTTTAGAAAGTTACATACAAAATTAGCATTTGCAGCAATAATTTTCAGCCTGTCAACAATGTAATTTTATGCTAATTAGCTAACCACTTTGTTAAAGTGACTTAGTAAGTGCTGCACATCTTCAAAGTATTAATATTCTCCATCTCCCTTTATCTTTTTGTTTTATTTTGATGCTTTGATGCTAGCTCCTCTTAAAGTGTTTGCGCTGTGACCACTGTATTGAGCCACTGGAGCTCAAACACAAGAAAGTCCCATTCTACCAAACTTACTAAAAGCAATTCAAAAACATTTGTGTTCTTCTAATCGCATTTCACATTTCTAGAATATTGCAGCTATTGCTCTGCACACAATACACTAAATGTCAGCTTCAGCTAAACTAGCTTCTGCCTAAATCTCTGTGTCTGAACTCTTGCTGGTTGGCTCCAAAACATACCTACTCAGAAGTCAATCCAAAGCACAAGAACATAAGCTGAACTAGAGTCAGCTGCATTTGGGCTTGAAATTAGGAATGAGGCACTGAAAACTCTTATTGTAAAGATCATAAAAGAAACAGAAGTGACTGTTATTTTTATGTTCATACTGCACATCATTTACTGCTAAAGAAATCAGTCTAAACCAAGCAGCTCATAAACAGAAACAAGGTTGTAAAGCTTCTTTGAAAAGGAGTCTTTAAGAAATAACTGTGGTAAACACTTACAAGGCAGAGTCACACATTACCTGTTAACAACATCCTTTAGAGACTCCTGTTGCTGAACCAAAGTCAGGATCAATTCTTGCAATGGGTTACTTGGGCCTCCAGAGGCACTTGAAGAAAGGCAACAGTTCACAAAGCCAGCCCACCTCCAACTGTTCTCTTCACTGGAAGACAGCTGAGAGGGCTTTCTTTCACCAGCCAAAGAACACACACGCAGCAAGTCACTGCCATACATTGGGGCCCGTGAACAACGGCGCTCATTGCCAGAAAATATTCTGTCCAGGCGCTCCTTCAAAAGCCGGTTCTTTTCTTCATATGTTTCCTTTGCCAAGAAAAGTTGAAACAAACATTTGCTACTCATCACAATGACTCAGGAATTAGAGTTTCTTTAGAAGGAAGCTATCAGGATCAGAGCCCTGTGTGCTTTATACCGCCAGCATCCTAGATTCTAACGACTACTTAAACCGATCACAAAAGATGTAAATTTCAGATAAATTTGAAGACCTCAGCTGAATTTAATTCATATTAAAGAGTCAATTAGTTTAGTATCTTCTTGCCTCTTTTAAAGAACATTTTTGTAGTTTTGGAAATAAAACAAAAGTAGTAATTTCTATTTGGGACACTTGAACTAACACATTAACACTGATAAGCTGCAGGTTCCTGTGCAGTTTAACATATACTTCACATTTCCCTATGCTTTACAGGTTGCTTGAGTATCTTTTCTAAAAACTTGTTAAGAATAGAAATCTATAAAAATTTGCCCAATTGCCTTTGTGTTCCAAACACACAGAAAATCTTATGATCTTTTTATTTATGCATTACTACACAATTAGGACACTTTACAGTTTTAAGAACCTGTCTGCTATCACGGCACAAGAAAGCTGTTAGCTGCTTTTATACACCAGAATCTACTTTAAACTATGGATTATAGATGAAAATGCATCAGCTCCGTCAACCTGAAACACTGACAACAGTTGGCTTTTTTACCTACTCTGTAATCAAAGTTCCTAATTAATTCCAGCTGTGTAAATCACAGCTTCCAACTATCACATGGACTTAGTACCAACCCTGAAAAGTTGTGTTTCCCTAAGAAAATGAAATACCTGCAATTGTCCATGCGTAGGTGCTGGTTTTAACGCTGCTCCCATGTCACCAGATGACAAATTAGTAACTGCAGTTCTACCTGGAATACAAACTGAGGATAAACCTTGTGTTTATATATTCATTCTTCTGAAGATTTGTTTCATTTATTATTTTCAATAAGCAGACATTTCATAGCTGTAACACATGATAATTGCAGGCAAATTTTTAGTCTAAATGCCCACTGGGTATTGCAAATTTGTACTTTGTTACACATCACACATCTAACAGATATTTACACCAACTGTTGTCACAAAAATCCAAGACAGATCAATGGAATTTTACTTCACTTGGCACAAAGACCTGCTGCATTCTTAGTTTATTCAAGATGTCATTTACAGTGCCCATAGGTATTAACATTTAGAAGTTATACTCTAAATCAGGAAAAGATTGTTCTAATTTATTTTAAACAAATCACCTAAGACTTTTCAGAAAATATATAAATTCAGTATATCTACAAATTGATGAAACTAGATGATGGAACCTCACAGTAGCATTCTTGTGAACTCAACTGCTAGCAGATGTTTTCCCAGACAGCTAACTAAACTGTAAGAACATTAGACAGGTAAACTAATCGAAACGACAGTAATACCCTTCATGCATTAGCAGAGTACAGACACTGTGTAGCAGTTATGTTCTTGACAGGATATATAGGTTTCTATTCTCAGCCAGAATGCATTGCTCATCAGCACTTATTATTTCTACTAGAAAAGCAGCACAACCCTTCAGTAGTCACTCTGAAACTGTATTTAGTGGTGAGTCAATACACCCACGAAGAACTGCATTCAAGTTAACAAGCAGGTGCTAGCCCTTACATTAAGAATAATAGAGTCTAAGGAGTATGCAGGCATTTAAGCTTTGCCTTTCTGCATTTTTGTTATAAACAAGGTAATATAGACGGCCAGTATAAGCCCAGTTTTACTGCACAGCTACATGTGAGCCCAGCAATTATAGTTTCCAATCACCCAAAGCAATGGAATTTACTTGGCACTTATCCAAAATTCAGAAAGTCAAAATAAGTACTTTCAACATGCTTTACATCTTCCTCCAAAGATGAACAGCAAAAACAATGTTTTCTTTTATCAACTGGAACCAGTACTTTAGATATTATTGCTTTTAACCGAGCTCTCTTTTTACCATCATGAGCGTAGTGAGATGTGTAAGTTTTTGTAGAAATCTCACATCAATTTTCATTCTGAACTGTGGCCATTTTAAGGAGTACCTGTAATGTAATCAGAGCTGGAGGGTGAAACATTTGAGCCACAGATCTCCCAAACTATGACAGAAATCCTTTACCTCTCAACAACTGGGAGGCTGTTGAAGCCTCCTCTTCCCTTTTTATGATGAGATGTTTACTCTTCAGAAAGTCAAAATACGAACTTCAAGGGCACGTTAATACATCAAACAGCAGCAGTCAGAGTCTATTTTGAGGGAACGGTTTATATCCAGAGAAAATTACAGCAGCTGGCCATTTCCAGGGAATGAACCCCTAGCATTGCATTTATCATCATTTAACAATCTGCTGTTTTGTTGTAAATGCATCCTAGACAGCAATTCCTCTATTGTTTTCTGATCAACATATTGATTGCAGTTTTAAGCAAGGAACTGATCACATTTGCAGCAAGGCACCAAACATCTAAGCAGTATGTGCAGAGAGAAAGGGAAAACACTAACTTGATTTGATAGAGAAGCAAGGAAAATTAGATACAAGCAAAATCAAGGTGCAAAAATGAAGGGAATTCCTGGACATGCTCTGTCAATAAAAAAAAAATAAATCAGCCTAATCTTTCTTTGAAAACACTAATGAAGTATTTCAAACTCACTTCTTCCCACAAAAATCTGACCTAAGACACAACTGATAAAAAAAATTCTATATATTTAATACAGTTTCAAGCTCTCCCAAGTTTGCAGTAAAACATGACCTAAAACTCCAGTACACATCACGCACAAAGGATCTGCCTCATAGTTTACCTGCTTCCGAACTCAACTTACAGAATTACCATCTATAACAACTTGGGAATTATATATCAATGTGACTTCAGTAATTGAATGTTTAGAGACATTTCTTCAGGCTAGAAAACCTACCTTGCTGTGTCACTGCTGTGGAAGTTGGGACACCTGCTTGATGCTGGTTTCCTAAAGCATTCAGAGCATTCTGAACACTTCCCGCTTGGGAAACTGTCTGCATTACAACTGGACCCTGAGGTCTCAAATACTGCTGACCAGGTGCTGAAACAATCTGAAGAACACTTCCTGCAATGGAGGATTTGAAAAAAAATTAAGCTGGATAGAGTGGAAAAGAATAAATAGTGTTCTCTTGCAAAAGATACTACTGTTATAAACTGATCATTACTGTTTCAAACTTTTAAATGTTCCCAGAGAAGTTCATTACACCAATCTGATTTAAAGTTCCATAATATCCGATAGCAGGGAAACAGGTATCTAAGTCTTTATAGTTAATGAAGAGTTTCACACTGTAGGGGTATCATTCTACATCTAGGTATTTTACACGAAATTCGGATGAAATCCAATCAGCCAAGAAATCCTCACTTAGTGTTCCCTCTGTTTATTTTGTTGGCCACAGGGAATCAAGATTTCCAGGTTCTCCTGACCATGGCAATTCACACACCACCAGCAGGGAAATTTGAGGGCAAAATATATTGTAGGTAGAGCATTCAGGTCAGGGTAATAGTTGGGTCAAAATTCAGAGGCACACCAATCTTGAAGTATTATTTACACCATTTCAGAACAAACCAAGAACATCCTCAGTTTTGTCTGTTTCTGCTCATCAGGGAGTTAATCTGAAACAATGCCTCACCTTTTTTTTGCTGTATTGCCTACATGTGAAAACAAATTCAATAATAAAATCTTGATGTACAATACAGACAAAGAAAGTAACCGTGTCTTTCATTTGATATGCGTTCATTTTTCAAAACAGAGCTACCTTGTTAGTCCTGTCTCACACAGAAAACAGGCAGAGCAGAACAGTACAAGCAGCGGGGATGGAAAAATCTCCTTAACATACAGCAACTAGGAACGTGCTGCCTGTATCAAAACATGAGCATTCTACAGAATGGGAAACTCCCTGTTTTGAAGTAAGTACCTTGTAACTGCAAGGGTTGCCCTGCAGTGAGCTGGCGAAGTTGACTATGTGACAAAGTGAACTTGTTCCCTTGGAACTGCAGTGTTACAGGGGTCTCTGGCTGAGCGATTCTGCCTTGTGCTCCTGCTATAGAAGCCAGCTGGGCTATTTTTACTACCTCACCACCTGTTAAAGAGAGAAACAGGCAATAAAAAACCAACCTGAAGTGGGAGGTGGGTCGTTCAATATTCACAATTCTAAGTTTTGGTTAGTAAACTGGTGCTGAAGCGCCTTCCATGCATAATTATACTTAGTGCATCAAAAGTGTCATATAAAAGTTAAGCAGGTATTGCTTTCTATATTTGTTGGACAAACTGGAAAAAAGCTGATTGTTTAAAGAGTAAGAACAGGAACATTTTAGAAGTTACCACTCTCATTAGCAAAAAAGTTAAGAGCTACCTGAAAACTCATGTGACACTTTGTAACAGAATAGACATTAAAGTGATTTTCACTGCCTTTTCAAGAGCACAAAGGAAGCTTTAAGAAAGAGACACAAATATTTACAGTCGTGGCACTATAAATAGACATTTGAAATGGCCTGAAATTTGGTGATGAAACATGGCTTACATCAAGCAATCTGCACTTAGACAAACCAAAAAGCTTTAAAGCGACAAGGATCAAGGTTTTTGTGATTTAAATGCAGAAAGGTTAGAGGCACTTAAGCATTAAGTTTTATGATATTGAGAAAACACTGGCGTGAAAATTTAGCTTTTGTAAAGGCAGTGCATTAACCCCAGAGATAAAATTAATACATCAGTGCTCAGTACTCTATACACATGCTAATAGGCAGTGCACATACAACCTTAAAGCAAAGCCTCATCGCTTTTCTCTGCCTAACACTTGCAACGTTCCTCTGTGCGAGAGAGGCCTTAGCAGATGGATTAGTGTTTAATATGAAAGGAATAATTAGGATAGAGCTAAAACATTTGGTCTGAAGGTAGTCTTGCCAGCAGAAGAAACATGCAGAAATAGGAGATTAAGTTGACACCACTAATGTATGTCCACAGCAATTCTATTGTTTCTTATCCAATTTTCGATTTTCCTTGGTCATAAGCAACGTACTGAGCAAGGCTAATCAGAAGAGTGAAAAAAAAACAACGATTCTGTACACATTTTAGGGTGCCTAATAACTTAACCTCATTGTAGTACAAAGGTGGGAGAAACCTTGAAAGGGGAGGCCACTTACTAGGCAACCGTGCCTGGGCCTGAGAGGTCAGTACCAGCCTCTGAGGCAGCACACTCTGTTGGATGGTGTGCGAGGGGGCCTGTGGCTGGGCCTGGCCTAGCTGAGAGGCCTGCGCAGAGGTCTGGCCCCGCGGTTTCACAGGGTTGGCTGTGCTAGTTGCTGTGGTGAAGGTCGCTGCGGGCTGGTGTCTTGGAGCACTGGTGGAAGCCTGAGTTGTCTGAAACTGTGCTGCTGCGGCTGCAATCAATAAGGGTTGTTTGGGCAAGCTGTTAGAGGTTTTAACTCCACTCTTTTAAACAACCTGCATTAAAAAGAAACCTTCCAACAGGATATTAAAACGGCTACAGGAACGGCTTGTCCTTACAGACTGGGATTTCTATCCACACCTTTTACTCCATCCTATTTTTACAACATTATATATTTGGAAAGCGTTATTTAAAGGTTAAATAAATACACAAAAGCACTGTAAATTCCCATCTTTGACAGAACATTACAAGTGATTAGGTTTTAAATACCAACTCTGCCATTTACTCCAAACACTAACAGTCAGGTTACACAAAGCTTAGTTTTGCATTACACTGGCAGATTATACTGTAGAAACTAGTGGGGAAATTTACTGGCAATTAGTCTGTTGGTATTTTTAAGCCATTAGTATTCTATAGACCATTGAGCTAGAGGGAAAAGGAGTTCTACTAACAGACTAACTTGTCTCCATCTATGCAGAGGTTCAGGTAACCAACCTAGAGCTAACACTCCTACCTTGATTTGAAGACACTGTAGCTATGGGTGATCTTCCTCGTACTTGTCCCTGCTGAGTTACCGTCGCTGTGGTCACCGTGCGTTGTACTTGAGTGCTTGGGAAAGCTACAGTCCTGCCCTCAGGCTTCTGACCATACTGAACGGGTTGAAACAACCTGAAAAGAAGATGAAAACTCTAAAGTCTCTAAGAAGATTGCAGCTTGGCCTTTAAAAATAAACTCTATCACCCCAGGAAAGTATAAACTGATCACATCAGATGCTAATCTCTTTCTCGCAGATGGCTGAAGCTTGCAGACTTCAGGTGCGGACATTCTATAGAGTCATTTTGCTAAGGCCAAGAAAGAAGAAAACTCATTGCTGTGCATCCAGCATCAGATCTACAGCAAACACCTGGAAGAGTCTAGCCCAGTATCTGGAAAAAGAATGGGGCACTCGTAGCATTTCCAGAGAGACATCAATATGCCAGCAGATCATCAGGCAGCTCCTTTGCATAAGAAAGAACAGTTCCACATTACTTCGAGATCGCTACTTCACTAGGTGAGAAACAGCCTTAAAAATTTTACTGCTATAAAACTTCCTATGTCTCTCCTAACACCGCAAGCACAGCTAACACTATGGGCCCAGCTTAGTCTTGAAGAATTATCTCCAGGCTATGTTTGCAAAACAACACTCACTTGCCATAAACAAGGACCTCAAGAATAAAATTCAGCTGCTGGTGAAGTAAAAACTATGGGAAATCCATAAATAAACTTCAAATGGAATTCTATGCCTCAAAAAAAAATTAAAATAGAATCCCTGTTTTCAAGGGTAAACAAGAAAGGAACAGAAAAATAAAATACAAAGTCAAGTCTGAGGTTTTGTGTGAATCACATGACCAGAGATGCCCACAGAACTCTGTAACCAGCAACAGAACCACATTTTCCTCCTGTAATTGTAGCTTAAAAGGAGGCCAACTGTACATACCTGCTTGGTTTGAGCTTCACTGGGTTGGGCCTAGCAGGTGGTGGAGGGGAGCTGTAGATTTCTTCAATCAACTTCCTAGTAACTTTTTGTTTTGGCAACATTTGTGCTTCATACTGAGTCATTTTGTTTTCCATTCCAATGAGGTCAAAAAGAGACAGGTCCGACTCCTATGGATATTGTAAAATAAGGTTTATTTTGTGATGACCTGAACAGTTAAGTCCTCTATATGTTCTATGTTGAATTCACTTTCTATATTTTACTTTTTAACTTGAAATAAATGCTGTAAGTTTAAAAAGTAAACTATTAATTATTAGTCAAAACTGTCTAGAAACCTTGGAAATATACCTTAAACTGATAGTCCCATTTTAAGCATCAGCATCAGAAGAAAAAGCACTGAAATCATCAGCCAGTTACCAAAATTAAAGCAAGGCACATTTAACAATTCTTCCTACAACATGATTTCCAAAAAATTACGTAGAACTCTTAGAAGGTGTTTGTTAACTATCTAGCTCAAATGCCAAACTATAAAGGGACACATATAATTCAGGAATGTAAGATGAAGGATGGAAGTAAGATCCACCAAAAAGATCATCTCATCTGCTGCATTACTCGTACTTCTCTCTAATGCAATTATTTGATTACCTCAAAGAGGGGGATCAGTTCTTTTAATGGTAACACAAATAGTGGTACCTCAAATGGATTGACAGAAGTGTACCAATTTAGTCAGTGAATCAGTGTTTACTTGTACATGAAAAAGAGTAAGTCTTACTCTCGTTTAGCTATTGAAAGAAGAAAATTACAGAATGCCGTAAATAAGTACTGGGCTACCCAGAGTGTTTTGAGTGTTAGAAAATTCCTGCAAACAGGAGTACGATGAAAGCAAAGCTAACTTCTCTTTGACCAAGTATTTAACAAAGACAGTACTGCTGACAAACCACTTGAAAAGCTCAAACTACTATTAAAAGAGATGCAGCAAGTATGCACTTGATAGGCACAGTTATGGAATAGTGAATTCCTTCTACTTCTAAACTTCAGGTAGACTTAAGATGCGTAAGAAAACAGTATTGAGTACTGAAATTCTACAAGGGCACCAAGAGAGAAAAAGTTTACTTTTCTACTCACCTTCCAAACATCTCTTTCTAGGGCACTCAGTACCAGAGACGCAGTTCTGTATTCCAGTGTTTCTGATACATAAGAGGTACTTGAAAGCCGGGGGTTTATCAGATCAGGGTGATTACAGATCCGTTGCAGCTGCATCAGGACATGCAGGACACTGATGAAGTGTCCGCTTTTGAGGGCTTCTTGGGTTCTACCAAATAATTGATACAGAAATACATTAATTTAAGTACAGCTTTTATGGAGATGTCCCTAAATCAGCAAGGTGAGAATGCGCAATGCAGCGTGTTATGCAAAAGTCTTAAAACAAGCTGAGATTTCACCTAGGTCTTTCTAGAGCATTTTAAATAGCACTGTACCAAATGTGAATTCAGAAACATGAAACTTGAGGACCAGTGCTACCTTACAGTCAAATACGACCCAACCAGCTCCCCATCCTCTACCTGCTTCGTTTCTGTTTCATCCCGGCACCTATCAATAGCCACTTGATATCACAGCCCAGCTAAATGGGTGGCTGTAAGGAGAAATACTTTGGGCTTCAAGAAATAAAGAACTACTCATTAGAGACAAATCTTAAAACAAAATAGCAGCAAACCTGACCACTACAACTCGATTGTTGTGTTCCAGAGGTAGATGTATGTTTTTCATTAGTCCCATAGCATCACTTGCCTGTAGTTTTAGTCAACAATATAATCACGCTCTATTGACTGGTCATAATGGAAATTTTAGAGAAACATTGTAACACTTCCAACCATTTATCATCTTGCTTAAGCACCAAAAATGACAGCGTATTTTATTTACTGTTTTAACTTCTTACCCTGGTTGTAGTATGACATCTTCATACATAGCTTTTTGTCGACTAGAGAGACGACACTTCAGCACATGTTCATATTTCTTTGTTAGCTGCTTTTCAACGTCTCTCTTTGATCTTCGCAAAATAAATGGCTGAATCATCTGAAACATTTCATAATTGAGAGAAAAAAAATTCTCACTTCAAAGACACAGTTTTACAACAACAAACTAAACCTATTCACACCTAACACATTTGATGTGATAAACCCCATATGCCACATATAATCATATTGCTATGCACACAGTTGTATAGGCATCAATTTGTTCTTTAATTTCTGCATGTTATGCTTCAAAATCTGAGCATTGTATTATTTTTTAAAAGAAATCTCCATACTCTTCTGGCAGCAGATACCCCTGCTTTCAGCAAGACTTGGTCTGAACTGAACAAAGTGTTAAGAAAGGCCAGAAATTGAGCTGAACCACACTTTTTCATTTTTTCTCTTTGTTTTTTCCCTCCATCACTTTAACTACTGTAACAGGATAGATGAGAAAAATGACAACATACTCTGTGTAACCTGATGACCAGTTTATGGCAATAATCCTGGTTCTCCTCATTAGCTGCTTTTACTGGAAAATCTAGATAAGGTCTGGAAATTCCCGGAATCAGAAAATGTACCATGGTCCACAACTCCATCAATGTGTTATGCAAAGGAGTGTCTATCAGAAGCAAACGATGCTGGCTGTGAATCATAAAAAAAGATTTGTAACTGATACAGCATTTAGCTAGTATCATTATGAAAAGGACACTAATATTCAAACACTGTTTACTGTAGCTTTAGATTTGTCAGATACATAAAAGAAATAAGCTGCGCTAATATAATTAAATCTAGGATAAATTATCTTTTTAACCTCAATATAACACCAAACCAGCTTCCTCATTGCAGAGTATCAGAACATACAGGGGATCTGTTTGGGAGCAGAGTATCAGCAAAGAACTGCAGTGTTACGACAGTGGCAACAAAAAGATCCTGATCATGTCTCAGAATCCTGACTGTTTCAACTAAAGGCACCTCTGTAGGTGCATGTTGCACAGGGATTTGGGCAGGCCAAGTCAAGAGGTTTTTTATCAGTTTTCTGTTAAGAAGAGAACTGTGTGACATGAAGAGAGAAAAACCCACTGTGAGCAGGAAAACAATTCTCTGTTCCATACCTGCGGAGACTGAAAAGTGCCTCCCAGTGTTTCTCAGTCATGTTCTTTATTTGTTGCATCTCATCTACTATTAAGTATTTCCATCGCATTTTCATAAATGCTGTGTGGCCTTTGAACAGCTGTTTATAGGAAGTGATACACACATTGAAGCTGTTGGGTTCTGTCCATTCCTACAGAAAAGCAAAGAGAGGATGAGATAAAATGTTAAGGCAGAACTCACAGCTATCTTACAACCAGCTATATCTTCACTAAGAACACAAAGATGCCATGACCAAAGCATTCTAAAAGAAGTTTTGGTCTTTGAACTACGGTCAGCTCAGAAAGCAGGTTAAGTATTGCATGTATTGCTCAACATTAAGGAGTTTCAAAAACGTCTTTGAAAATCCAGAGCCATTAGGTGTGAATCTCTTTGCAAACCAACTCGTAGTGTTTAAAAACTTCTCATACCCCATCAGGATGTAAGGAACGTATAGATAAACGCAGGTTAAAGGTCTTGCCATCTAAAATGCTAAATACAACAGTGTAAGAGTTGCAAAGTACAGTACCTGTCTTTTTGCCCTAAGTTCCCTTTGGCTGCCAAAGTAGAGAAGTATTTTCAACCCTGGGCACCAGCGCTTCAACTCCAGCTCCCACTTCAATATGTTACAGCTCCGTACAACAACAAGGTGGGGGCCCCAATTACCTACAGAAGGGGAAGGATAGCAGTTAACAGCAGGAAGATACTCCTGACAATTCTGTGACTTATATTCTCTGCTGATTTTTTAACTGCAGTGCACTAAATTCATCATTAAAAGTGAGATCCAATAACAAGAGGTATTTTAATGACTAACCTATTATTTATTATTTTTCAGATCTCAAGTACCCCTTGCGCACCTAATAACTATTTTTCCCTCAACTACATCAACTGCTTGAATAAGAGATACTACCTCCACAACAAGCTCTGCCTTACTTATATTCTCACACCATCCTCAGTACAACACTACTAGTAATATCTGAGATGATATATAAGATGCACTTGTCCAATTGTTCGTATTTACTCTTTGAATTTAACTACCTGTGGCCACCTCATCATTAAATGATTTGTAAGGCTTTTTCATACTAATGAACTAGGCTTCAGAAAAGTTTTGTCACCTCGAAGGTAACAGCAGACTGATCAAACAGTATGCTTGATAAGAAAGCACCCCTATGTCACACAACCTAAGAAAGTTTTTCTGCCATCTTACTCTGTGCATTAACTATAAAGTCTGATACAGTTCAGCAGAAAAAAAAATGTGACCCTCGGCTACAATTTACAAAGATAATGCTGGCCCAGTACCTGTCTAAAATTGTTAGGCAAATGAACTTACCTTCATTACAAGCCAAGTGGGCAAAAAAGGCAATAATTTGTACTGTTTTTCCAAGCCCAGCCTCATCTGCCAGAATGCCGTTAAGATTCTTCCTGTACAGCTTTGCTAGCCAATCCAGCCCAATCTTTTGATATTCTCTGAGCGGCCCATACAGTAGCGATGGAGTATTGTATTTTATCTGTAACGTGAATGATTCAACACCTTTTTTCTGAGTTAAATTCACAGAGCATGTCATAAAGCATAACCACTCTACAGTTCAATAACTAGAAAATATTTACTGTAATTTGTGGCTAAACTCTGTGAAATCATGAAAAAAATCATTCTTTATGTCAAAGCAAGCACACACAGTAGCAGAAAACAGGGAGTCTTACCGCTGTAGTTATCCTAGAGCTGCCTTTAGGTAACAGCATTTCTGCTGCAGCAGCAACTTCTGCTATGTCTCGCATATGCTTCTTTGGAGGACTTGATCTGTCTATACCTTTGTACTGGTCAATGCTAAGAAGGGAGTCTATGAGAACAACTTCTTTCTGAGGACTTTCCCTATCAGAGATATGGTCTTCCATTTCTATGAGAGAGAAAAAATACATTGGCATTTAAAAAAAAACCTGAAGAGGGTTACACAAAGGAATTGAGATGGCTAGAATTCAGACAGGAGTCTAAAAGGAGGCAGCTAATTTTTAAAAACAATTGTGTGATCTTCAGGCTAGTCAAGCTAAAATAAAAATAGCCTAACCTCAGGATCACGTACATGTTCTGGACATTCACGCTATCTGAACTAACATGGCCATTAGCTTTTCACAGCTTCTAGGGAGGTCCTCTCATACTACTTAAAACCTATCCTCAAATATGCAATTCTATCATCGCATTAGTACAGAACAGATGGTAACTGTGTAATAATAGCTAGCTATGAAGTGTGCTGTTTAATTCAGTGTAGAGAGGCTCTTCTATGGCTCACTATTGTTCCTGAGAATCTCACGCATCTTGACTTTCAGACAGGCAAACACTACCTTCTTTTCATAAACTAAGAAACAGCAAAAAAGGAAGACATTCTTCACAGACAATTATCCAAAAATATTTAGTAGTAACAGGAATAAATCTAATTTTTCTAATGATCATTCCAAATGCTTAGCAAGAAAGCCACTACACTTCTCATTCATTCTTGTATATAACACTCTTCTTCACTTAAAAAATAAAACCCAGTTTAAAAGCGATTCATTCAGTATTTGTTTTCCCCTAGTATAAAATGTCTTTTAACAGAGACCTGAAGAGCAAATCAACTTATTTCACCTTGTAAGTCAGCACTTCTTCTAGACAAGAAGTAATTTACCTTCCTCACTGCTATCCTCTTCACTGTCAGGCTTCGGCTGGGGCCAGTGAAAGTTTTCTGCAAAGGCACCTTCATACATCTTTAGTAAATCTTCCAGAGGCAATTCAGCTGAAGGTCATTAAAGGATTTAAGTTTAAAAATGTCAAAACTTGTAACAATCAATACCATTGTTTAGAAGCTCATTATATTCTTCACAACTGTATTCAGCCAGTTGCCTAATCAGAAGTTAATTGAAGAGGTAATTATTAGGTGGATGACGATTATATTTATTTTAATGACCTCGTTACAGAGAACACTTGGCATTACACCAAGCAGTTGGCTCACCCAGCTTGCCTTCTCCTGTATTACAAACCCACCATATAAACTAACAGTAAACCACTGGTGGGGGAGGTAGGGGCATCAATCCAGCCCAGTGGTTGGAAGACAACTCAAGACTTCAAATTTTCAAAGCTGAGCTATACTTCAACCTTGCTAAAAGAGTATCTCCATGATGCCTTGTCCGATCTGTTGCAGTAGGAATGCACATGCTGGTGGTGGCCAACTGATCAGGAAACATCCTCATTAGGAACTTGGCTGACTGGCCAGGAGTTATAAGCCCTCCAACTGGCCAGCCAGCTGCAGGCACTAAGCTGCCAAACAGAGCAAACAAACAGATTTGGAAACTGCAGATGAATTGCCAGGCGGGCTTAGCTTAATGGGAAGCTTGCCTCTCAAAATCTGCAAGGTTTTTACCACAATAAGTGGAGTGATCCCTATGGGATACTTTGCATACATCAAGCTCAGCACAGCAGTTATTGTTATGCTGGTAACGAAAGAGAGCTGCTAGCCAGAGCATTGTCCCTAAAAGCCCCTTATCTTCAAGTATTTATACCCCCCTCAAGATCAGCACTTTAGGACCCTTTCAGACCTATCAGGCGGGTCACGAAATCCTTCTGAGATACTCAAGACAGCTGATGATAAAACGTTCATGTTCAACCTGATACAATTCTGGTTTTAAGTATTTATCATGCACTCCTAGACCTTAGGTTGACAGTCTTTTGGTGTGAGGTTTAAAAGAAACGCAGTGCTTCAGTAGAGAAAGACTTTTTCTCAAGCCCCCTTGTGCGATAACTAGTTAAGTATACGACTGTTAATTACAGATGTCCATCACCACCCCATAAACTAACTGCTACAGCTTTCCAAAAAGTAAATACGGATTACATACGACTGAACATCTGAACGCATTCAACTTCTCATCTGTTTAAAAATACAGTAACTGCTGCATGTTTTCACCTGTTGTTTCAGAGCCCACCACAGAGAAGAATCAAGCTACATGCCTACCTTCTTTGGCTAGATTAGACAATTCAGTTTGATGGTTTATGTTTCCTTCTTTAGCTTCTTGTTCTTCAATTGTTTCTTCTTCATCTTCAACTAAAATAAAAACAAATGCTAATCTTGGCATCCAAATTATACAATAATTCAGGAAGTTTGTAGTTATATACCCCTGAAGTGTACTACGATAGAATATTACAAGTTAGCAGGATTCAAAAAGAATGAGACGTGTATGGAAAACAAGAAAACCTGAAAGCAACTACATGTAGAGCTTAAAAGATAACTGAAAAGGAGAGAAGCACTTCTGCCTCAGGACAGAAGGCAGTCTTGAACTGTTAAGTGTTGGTAAACAATGGTCATCAGAGACAGGTTATTCTGTAGCTTTAAACTGAGGATTTTCTTTGTCAGAAACATAACAACAACGTCATCACAAGAAACGAACTAAAGTAGATGGGTTATTCAGTCTTAAATCCTAAAAAGAAGTTTAAGACCACTAGTAAGGTTTGAGAAGCTAAGGAATGAGGACAGAAAGACTTAAAATCCACCAACAATGATGGCAGTGTATTTTCAGGGAAAATTTTATTTCCGAATTTTCACTGAAGCTCTTTTAAGGAAATTTTACTATCTAATTGACTACCCAGTCTCTCTAAGAAATGGACAAAGGTTGGTATTTGGTTTGTGAAAAGCACTGCATCCATGCCATAACAGACTGAAAACCTGCGCTTTCAGGGTTTTAATATCCAACCTATGTACTACGCTATAGAAGCACAAATATGAAAAGTGACTTACCTTCCTCATCAGTCAAAGATGTGCTTGCCTTTCTTTTCCTTCCTGATGATGAACCCTAGCATTAAATAATTAAAATATTTAAACTCACAGAAAACAAAGTTAGGGAGGTTTTTGGGGTTTTTTAAAGAAAGCAAAGAGTGCCTTGGAGTCACAACAGCATGTGCTAATAGACACTTAACACCCATTAGCACTTTCCTGGTCATGCAGAAACAGATACTCTGCTTCTGTATTGAAGGTAGGATGCAATCGGCCACTTCAAGTCTTTGTAGCTCATGTTACTCAGGTCCAGCTGTGGCACAGAGCCATAGCACGTTCCTTCCCTTAAAAACATTGTTGAGGCACAAAACTTTTAGCCAGGTTGGAATCATGGACTAAATTCTCACTAGTCAATAAAAAGGAGATATGGCACAGGCCTACAAGTGTTTGCTCTCAGCTGCCCAGCACGCTCTGTAGCGTGGTTTAGCCTGTGCAAATTAACACAGACAGTGCTAGGTCACAGTTTGGCTGGTACCACACTTCCTGCTCCTAACAGGAAATTCAGATGGAGGCATTCTGCTTGGTGAAAAGGGAGCATTTCAGCATGGGGGCATCAGCTGTGCCATGCCAGACGGCTCAGGGCCTCAGAACAATCCTTTGTTCATTTTTTTCCAATTGCATGAATGTAGCCAAGGAGTCCTAGCACACATCTTGTCTATGGCAAAAGATATTTAAGTTTCATTCAGTTTAATCCACTCTGTAACATATACTACATCCCTCAGCAGATAAATCACCGTTGAACAGCTGAAAACATGCTTTCATGTCCCATAAAGCTCACCCCTGGTTACAGTAGATGAAATTCCTGCCCAAAACGAAGTCTGGCAATTAATTTGCATATTTTTTTGGTCTTGCAATCTTAGAATGAATGATTCAAAGCCACTGAGTAAGTATGAATTCTTCCTTTAAAAAACACGTATCAACTGCAATCCACATCCCCATTAAAAGTTGTGGTTCGTAACCAGAAAAAATGGTATTTGTGCTCATGATTATACATTCAATTGTCAGTAACTACAGAGAAATTTGCTTATGATGACCATGTATTTAAGGAAAACACTTCACATTTTTCAAAATTTTTTCACACAGGTAGTCATATTTAAACTAATTCGATGGTTCTTTTAAGAAACACAAAGACTCACCATTTCACTTTCTTTTTCCAATAAAAAGTCTTCTGCAGGTTTTATATCCTTACCTGGAAAATTATTATACTTGATGTATGCATTAGTCACTTAGCAATTTTATGTTTCTTACATGAACTTTTAAATGCATTCAACATAAAACACAGGACGTATTAACAAAATGTAGCACAAAAACGTAACCCCCCACCCCGTAACTCAGAGTTCAGATCTGTTCACAACCAATTACTAGCATCTCACAATTCTATCACCAACAAGATTAAATTCCACTGAGTGAAACTGTGTAAAACAACAGCATCAGAATTTATACTGGATTTCTTATGAAATGGAATACAATTACCTTTCCTTGAAATTCTCTTTAAATTCAAAGCTTTCTTCCTTTTCTCTTGAAATTCAATTTGCAGTTTTATTTCAACAACCTGAAATGTAAATCAAGTCTAATAAAGCACTTACATTTAATAAATAAATTAGTGAAGATGAAAAAACCAGTATGACTTGCACAAGTATTAAGTCAGTATTTTACCTGTTCAATATTAGACCAGAAGTATTCTATTTCTCTAGCAATTGATGCAGCAATTCGCCTTAGTTTGTTTTGTTCTTCCCTCTTAGCTCGCTCTTCATTAAGTTTCTTTTCTTCATGATAACGAGCCACAGTTCTTACCATCTAAAATACCATGAGAGGTACTGAATTAATTTACCTCAAAATACACCTCATTGCGTTTCTTACGATTATAGCGGTTAGCAGCGGCCAGATGTTGAACATAGCTTTACACACTTGCAGCACTTGCCTCCAATATTTCTAATTCTTACCATTCGTACCAGTAAAACAACAGATGTGAAACTCAAAGGAAAAAAGAAAATACAAGAAATATAACTAAGCAATCAAGTAGGAAACTCTTAATTCACTACACTCTCTCAGTACAAAAATTAGAAAAAAAAATCTACTGAAATTAGCAGCAAACACACAAAAGAAAACTTTTCTTCAGACAGCACATATGAAGTCACAGAAAGCACATCACAAAATGTCAGAGACCAAAGGTAAAATGAGCGTACATACATGAGTGAAAGATCAGTCAATGGCTGTTAAAGACTGACTTGATTGCAACCTTTAGCTCAGGAGGTCCCTAAAACATTGACTTCCAGAGGTTTGAAGTATACTGCCAGGGGAAGGATCATTTCATATTTGCCCTTCCTGTTCCTCTTATTCTTAAAAACCCACCATTGGCCAGAAATGGAGTAAGTGGTTCAAATCCAGATTTAAATTATATTCAAAATGCAGATCTTCATTTTACAAAATGGTACACTTATTTCAACACTTCGCTCATAAGGAAGGGAGTTCTGAGTTTCCATCATTTGAGAATATACAATAGAAAACAACATGGCAATTTAAACTAACGACCTTCAATTGCTCTCTTCGTTACCCCAAACTGTCCATAAATGTATCAAAAGAAGATGCCAGAATCCATAGGAAACTCTTTCTTACTGTAAACAAACAGATTTTACATATTTTATCTCACACCACCCCAATTTTCATTCCATCACTGACTCAATTATTCCCACTGTGCTGCTCTCTTCCCCTACGGAAACAGTTCTCTGCTGTCCTTAGAACTCCATGGTTTCTCCTTCATCTTTTTCTGAGATTAAGAAAGAAGAATTAGACAGACAACCACACCCAATAGAAGTTATTTACAAATTTCTATATTTACTCTTAATTCAGAGGTAATAACTGATTTGTGAGACAGGCACGATGGCCGTACTTTTCAAATACGGCACAGTCAACATACTGACTGGGTCCCCTAGACAAGCTACTTGATTTCCAGAGGAATAAAATCCACAAAATCCAAAACTATTATTTGCATCCACAATGAATACAATTATCTAGTTTGTTTCAAATGTTGCAATATTCAAAGCTGACAACATGGCTTCTTATTTATGTCAAAAATCAGTGCCTTATATTCCCATCACTTCTATCTGCAGAGAAAGGTTGTTTAAATAGCTTTGCTACCAAGCTGAGTGATACCAAGATCAATTGTTCTCAGTCAAAAAATGTTTTAAAAGTACCTTCTTAGCAGTTGCCATCTTCCACTTTCTCTCTTGGGCAAAATCAGTTGCCATCCACTGCATTTCTTCCAGCAAATAATCCCAGTGAGATTTCGGCCTTGGAGCCTCTTGGAGTTTAGGCAGTCGCCTGAGGGACCATAAACCTTCCTTTCTCAGTTCCGCTATTCGCTGATGGATTTGATTTTCCTTAAAAAGAAGTACATACAGTTACAATGAAGCTGCAGAATGCACCTAAAATAGCAGCCAAATAGAAAAACAGTAATTGTTCCCACTTCACCGAAGTAACTGACAGGAAAAAAAAAAAAAAAAAAAAAAAAAAAGGTGTAACAGCATGACACATGTATTACAAAAATCAAGTCTGAACGCTGCATCAATGAAAAAATTACCGGACTAAATTCAGCTTATACATAAAGAGAATCACAGTACTTCACCCTGTATTACAAGAAGTACTTTGCTAAGTAACAGGTTAAAAAAAGGTTCACTGGGCAGCACAAAAAACAAGTTACAAGACATATGCAAACTGCAATCAAATAATCCTTTTTTTTCCCCCTGTAAATTAAAATTGCAGATGTATTTATCCACAGAAGATAAACATATCTTCATTATTAATATTGCTTGATTTTGTGGGGAAAAAAACCCACCAAAAACCACAAATCAAGTTCTCTATGATGTTTCCTGTTAAATTCTGTAAGCAAAGCAACACCTCCAGCTAGGTATAAAAAAAAGTAAGGTTGCAATCACCTCAAATGAGTAGATAGAATCAATAAATAGAAAGAGAAAGAACACAACCCACAGTATGAAGACCAGTAAGCTTTCTTCAACTTCTCTGAATGCCCATCAAAGCAACAGTCAGTATGTAAAGCAGACCAAAAAAAAAAAATCAAAAAACCCCACACACGAAAAAATCACAAACACACACCCCACCCCCTGAAAAATACTCCGTTTTCATAACTCACACTCATTGTTCATATTGTTATCTGTGTGTTCATACTGTTCATAAGTTTTGGGGAAAACCAAAAAATCTTACCAACTTTACTTGCTCAGCAAGCTTGTCTTGAGAGTTGTCCTGTGGTAATACTGCTGCATTCTGAGCTGGGCTTTGTGTTTTAGGGGCTGCTGCTACTGCTAAGCCTGGAGGTTTTGATGCAATAGGAGACAGGGACTTGTTAGTTGCTGGAGAGGTCCTGTTTGTTTGTACTGGGTACGGAGAAGGCGGTGTTGTGCCTGAGACAGTTGCTGGTGCAACGGATGAGGTAGGTGGTAGCGTATTTGCCGCAAGACGCTGTGAAGTCTGAGCAGGATCTGCAGACGGTCGTGTCAGAGTCACAGTCTGCCCAAGAAACACATTTGTTAGCAATGAGCTTAGGATTCAATACTGTCTTAGTCTACACTACAGCAGAACTCAATGTGGATTTGAATTTAATAAAAAATGTACATTTTTATAAGGAAATGATTTAGATGTCCAGTAGAACAAAAAAATGTTAACATTTTTCATCTGTTTTCTGGAAGATAATGTTCTGAGATTTCACTGGACAATGAAACAAACCTATTCTCACCCCAACCAAGTTCACGTACCTGTTGCTGTATTGTAGCTTGTGGCTGTGACACTTGGTTTGGTGTCTGTCCTTGCACATGGATTGCTGGTGGCACCTGCTGTTGAAGTGGTGCTGGAAGCGGAGCAGAAGTCAGGGGTACGCTTTGAGGCTGGATCTTCACCTGAATCTGAGGCTGAGCTGGAGATTCCACTATCTGTGGTGGCTGCTGTGAAAGCTGCAGCGCAGCTGGCAGAGCCGTCATGGGGGCATTCACAGGCTGGAGCCTCCCCGGCAGCTGCGGCGGAGGCGTGTGCAGGCTCGCTGCGTTCTGCACCGGGGGGCCTTTAGACGGGTCGTACTGTTGTTGACTCTGCTTCTGTCCGGTCAGCTGTACAGTCTGAGGAGTGGGAGGCATTCCACCTGCAAAGCAAGAGGAAACGCAGCACAGATGAAATTAAATGTCCAAAACTTTTTACTGGTATAAAGAGGAAATCAACTACAAATAGACTAATTTGTTACTTACTTTGCCACAAGACACCATCACTTGAAAATACCACATCACAATCACAAAATTAATCACTATGACAATAAACAACGAAGTATTTCATGCACAGGACTACAACTAAAATTTGGAGCGCAGCAACTACAAAAAAACATGTCTTCTGAATTTCTTATACTTTAAAAAAAAAAAAAAAAAAAAAGGGGGGGACCAGTGAGGTAATGGAATTTAACCTAAAATAACAGCATCAAGTCTAAATAATATTTAGTTCTTAACACATATTCTAAAGTTTGGCATGACTAACGAATAAAAATTTGTCGTGATGTTGCAAATTAGGAGGTTTCCTTTTCATAAACCATTGGGTCAGTTCCAGAATTCTCAGAGTAACCATTTTGCATCAGCACCTGTGACGTATTTCCATGCCCACATGCACCTCTGGAGCCCGTCACTCAGCTCCTTAAACAAACCAGGCATTGCATACCAAGTATTAATTTACATGGAGAAGTGTGTGGTGGGACTAGGATCTTGCAAGAGCAGAAGCCCAAGTTTCTAGTCCCATCACTAACATCTCCTTGTTAAATTAATGTGCAATTGGCATGTGGTGACACAGTACCTTGTGCCGTTGGCATTAGCTGTTGAAGAGGAACTCCTGAAGCCACACCCGGGTGCTGAAAAACCATCCCATGACGGCCCACTTCAATTCGTGGTCTCTTAGACGAATCTGTGATATTCAAATTCCATTTATGGCATGGTATAATGGAATGGGTTCAATTTTACAAAGCAAACTACTACACATGATTCCAACATCAGCTCAGAAAGCTACGACTACTATACATGTGTAGCATTTATGAAGAACATGCTCCAAGGGCAGAGTCTCGCTAACTTCAAGTTGGCCATCTCCAATCTTCTTAGCCAGAACAATCAACCTAACCACGTCTCCATGCCTGCCAAATCCAGTCCTATATATTGTGAGTGGAGTGGACCATTCACAATAGATAGTCCTAAGGATCTGGCAATTCCCAAGGTGAGGCAAAACTGTATCTCAAGAGTTACAGCACAGTGGGCTCCTTTAACTGTTTGGGGGAAAAAAAAAAAAAAAAACAAACAACCACGGTGAAATAATTCTGTCTGTGGAACATACCTGCTGGTGCCAGTGCCTGCTGTCTCTTAAAAGCTTCGATTTCTATGGTGTTCACAGTCCCCGTTACTGGAGTCCCTGTATGCGTTTGCTATTGGAAAAAGAAAACAAACCACAAAAGTTCAATCTGTAGGTAGTCTAACACCAAGACGCAATCTACAAACGGACCTCAAGAGGCCAGCACAGAACAACCCCTTCAGAACACTGGTACAATGAAGAAAACAAGACTCATTCAACATCTGCTATGAAGTTTTAGATATCCGTAATGCACAGATACTCTTCGTTGAGTCTAAATTTTAAAACAGCAACTAAACTGACGAAGTCGGTTGGTTGACTACATTTTTTAAAAAGTGATACCAACCCAGGACTATGGGATATGTAAAAAATATACTTCCCCTTTATTTTTACTTCTTTTTTTTAATAAATGGAAATTTTCATTAGTGTATTACCCTTCATCATTCGCATACGGCTGCAATGAAGTCAAAATGACGTATTCATACAGCATGTAGCTGCAATAAAAAGCTGACAGGATAAAAATTAAAGATTGTGACTTCATTATGGGATTAATTAGAAGATAAATTAGATGAGGAAAGAGAATTTACCCATAAACCATATCATAACGAACAAGATACAAAAGTAAGAAATAAGAGTCAACACCGTTGCGAAAGCAAATCCTGTTCACTCTGTGCGAAACATCAGTAACACACAAATTAAGTCTGATCCTGAAGACAGTTTAAGCTTACTTGAGTCTCCACCACTGTCACTCTCAGGACAGAGCTCCATGAGAGTGAGCCTTGAGATACTTCAGGAAAAACTGCTAAGACTCAAAGAGGGAACAAAAGAATCTTAGCCACGTTACACAAGTTCCAATTCCAGTTTTCCAGATGCTAGACTTGTACGTGTTTGCACAGCTGGCAAAATGAGAACTATGAAGAAACTCGATGAGGAGAAACACAATATTGCCATAAGGCTAATGTGACATCAGAGCTCATCCGAAATTACTAGACATTTTGTCTGCGGAAAAACATCACATAACTATGAATTAACAAGCCTGGAAGAGCACTACAGATATTGAGATGCAAAAGAAATCACTGGGGTTTGATTCAGCACGTCGGAGTTCAGCTTCAGTAAGATTACACAGTGCATTCAAACTTTATTTTAAAATTACTATATTTAATATTGGCAATGATGGTAGAGAATATATCCTAGATAATCCTTTCAGCATCAAACTCAGATGGCAGACTCATCTACAGGATTACTGAAGCAAACAAGTTTGAATATATAACAATTTCCATGCTCTTTGGGCCCTCAGCACTACTGGCAAGTACTTATTAACACCCATCAGTGTGTGCGCACGCTCAATTCCTTTCAGTGAGTTTCCAAGTCATATTTTTAAATTCTCCTTAATATTGAGCCATGCTATACCAAATATCCTACTATGAAAATTAATATAAGAAAAACAAGGGCTATCCCAAGAAGGGTCTTAAGAGAGATTCTATCAGAAGGTACAAACACAGACTTTATATATGGCGGTCTCTAAGTCCTAGAAAATCAGCTATTTTAGCACTCATGTTCTCTAAGTGTAATTTTCTGATGGTGAGAGCCTTTGCCATATCAATGTACAGAAAAATTTATTATGACAACGCAGCAAAGACAGCAATTTCCCAAAAGAATCTTGTAGTTTATTCACAGGTCTTTTCTTCTCTGATTACTAATAGAAATTCTACCAATGTAAATTAAGCCTAAGAAAGTAAACACCAGTCTATATTGAAATAAACCGTAGCAGTCACAACCCTGCATCTTCAATGCTTCATCGTATGGTATTGATAAACACAGCCAACGTCACCTAAAATGACTGGGTTTCAAACACTCCTTTTTGAGCTGAATATAGCTCATGCCACTCAGATTCTATCAATAGCTATGAATTAATAACTTTTAATCTCTTTGCTGCTGTGAGGGTATTTGTGGCCACACTAGCGATACAGCTATAGCCTTAAGATGCAAATTTTGGTTTTAAGAACCTCTGACTCATATTCATCCTTAACGGTTGGTCATGGTTCACTGTCATCTCACACTTAATATGGATTAAGTTTTCAAATGTTTGTCTTCCCACAAGGCTGACATGCAGCATAGTTCAAAGTCCAACAGCCAGTGTCTGGCACAGCATCATGCACTCAGGCATTTGTAGAATTTTCAAATAAGTCCCAAAAACTTATTTTGTACAATGCTACTGAATTAATTAATAAATTCAGCTTCTTCAAATAACAAATTCCCGTTTGCATCAAATGCGTTCTGGGACATCCAAACCATGCTTCAAATGCCATTTATTTCACCTGCACTCTTACTCTGGATGATCACAGTTTCAGGCTGCATCTCTACTGCAGGATTTTTGACTGGCATTTTCTTAAGAGTATGCCTCCCAGCTGCCTGCATTATCACCATGTAATTTAGGCCAGACACTTCAAAGAGCAAAGATATTATGTCTTTACAAATTGCAGTCGCATACCGCTAATATTAGACTAAAACTGCCCTAACTTTAATTAAAATAATGTAGTTCTCCAGAGGTCATGATTATGCAGCACGCCCACAATAACCATCCTGAGTGCTGCACTTACGCACTCAAATTTGAATGACGATGCTGATCAGGACACGTTATTTCTCTATAAACAGTTAGAAAGACTGATGGAAAGAGATGATACTTTCTGTTAACCATTAGTGCTAAAAGGTATTAATTATCACAACTACACAGAGAGTTTTGTACTTTTTTAGCATGTACCTGCTAGTTTCTCCAAAACAGGTCCAAAATGGCATAATACTTTCAAAAGTACTTCATCATTGCTGTAGCTATAGCTTGATGATAACCCTAATCAGTATAATAAATAACCTGATATAATATTACATATATTAATCAGCTTAGATGAAGCCTGACTAGCGAAGGAGACTTCCAAGACATGTCAGCATTGGCCATAATGAAGAGCTCTCAGTGCAAGCCCCTTTACTGTGCAACTCATTTGTAAATACCACAGTGAACATCCCATTTGTTACACACAGGAATACAACCCATTTTACACTGCATTTAAATCTCCATTTTCCAAAACCTAGGTGAAGGGAGTACAGACTGTACAGCTTCCATGGTACAGCAGAGTAACTCACCCTGTAACACCTGCTAAGCATATATAACTGAGTGAAAAGGTAAATAATTTAGCTGCAGAGGAATTAGGGCATATTACTTCTCAGAGTACATAAGCAATGGTGTCTGGGTTACACAGAGCTGAAGGTAGCTGCATAAACCCATACTAGCCAAACTTTCAAAGTTGGCATCATCACTGATCCACAAAAATTTTAACCAATTATCACATTTATTTCTTTACTTAGTTCAGTATTCCCTCATTAAAAAAAAAAGTAAAAAAATGGACTTCTATAATAAAAACAAGCACTTCGCTTTCTTCTTCCCAACATTTATGGCAGAGCCAATGGAAAGCAGTTAGTTATTTAAAAAAATTGTGTCAGAGGGTTATTATTGTTGTTTAAAACATTTCAGGAAAGCAAATCCAAAACCTTCTGTAGCCACACTCAAAACCTTTAATAGATAAGGAAAAAAAGAAAAGAAATTTAGAAGAAATCCACAATTACAATGCCACAGACAAAAGAATCCATATTATCACTATGTAGAATGCACAAATGAACCAAATGCATTAGGGAAACAAAAGACAAACAAACCAAAGTGAAAACATTCAAGCTGAAAGTTAATGAAATAAGCCAGCAACCTGGAGACAAAGATTTAACTTCCTCAAGGCTTCATTAATACTGATGCATTTGAAGATTGCAAAGGTTTTTTTGTTTTGTTTAGATGATAAGGGATGGGCTTTTGGGAAAATTCTAATTCATCTAAGAAATACCATATCTGAATGAAGAAAAAAAATCTGGGATGAAACTACATTTTAGAACCATTGAAAAGTACCTGAAATGGTTGCTGCTGGGATGAAAAAGCAGCAGAAACATTTGGAGGAAGCTGGGTTGCTATAGCGACAGGAGTACCAGTCTGCCCATCCTTTCCTGTCACAACCTTTACCTGAGAGAAATATTTGGGGAAAAAAAAAAAGAAGGGAGAATCATTTTCTTTTTAAAAGTTTTTCCTCTTTGTTTTTCTTCTTTGAACTGTTCCAACACACTCATTTTGTACTGATGGTACCTCACTGAAGAGGGGATTATAACTAAACCGCCATCAGTGCAGCTCTGAGCGCAGGCCGTTTGTAAAGAGTTCCGCCTCACGTTTAATAGCAGAACAGAGTACAGCCTCGGCTCTTTACAGTGACTTCTCATCACTGGAAACCTTTTCTTAAATCCAGTTAACATAAAAGTGTGTTCTAAATGTAATGATTGCTGCTCCTAACGGACAACAAATTAGCATGACAGACAGTTTGAACTTAAGAGAGCTCCAACATTCACTTAAGCAATGAGCACAGCCACCATTCGCTCTCCCCTTGAATTCCCAAAGTGATCAACCTTTCCAGGCAAGGGATGAAGCGCGTTGCTTTAGCAGAAAGTGATAAAGGGGGGGGGGGAGGGAAATAAAAGAGAAGACGACAAAAAAATACAAAGAAAGAACATACTCAAAAGGTGTCTTAATCTTTCAAAAGGATTCATCATTTGAAAACACATAAAGGCTTTTGCTGTTGCACTTTGCAAAACTCTCCAGCAATTGAACAGACAAGGGGCTTTCACAAACAAAAGATGATCCATCACAAGAAGGCAGTGAAGTACAACAAACCCCAAGCCCGAAAGACCGAGGGGTAGAGCCTCAAATGATGTAAATTGTAGTAGCGCCACTGACCTCAATGAACCTACGCAATTTACACCCACTAAAGATCTCTCAAAATGTGCGTACTGTAGTTAAAAATACCTGGTATTTCAGCTGACAAACACGCAACCCAACAAGAACACCTAAACAATTTGACAAAACACAAATCAGGTGAAAAAAAAATACTGAATATCCATTGTCAATAAATTACAGTAACAGGCTAGCTTTATGTTACCACATAAAGAAAGAAATTATTCCTTCAAAATAACTATCACAAGCAGAAATATATTTTTCCTAGTCAAGAAGTTTAGACCATAAAGCAATGAGCAAATTAGACTTCAGCTGCTACACTGTTAGTTTCCCACAAATTCCAACTGAAGATATGCTCACACCTAAGAGAATCATCAATTTTCACTAAAGACACTCATTTCTAAAGGATTACTTCAAAACAATATGAGTTTCATTACAAAACAGGTTTGGTTTGGTTCTTTACAAACTGGTAACTATATACCCATGCACACATTTACAAATTTTAAAAGGTATTTATGAGTGCCAAGTGCTGCAGTGGCACCAGTTGTATCTACCCTGTTCTGACTACTGGTCATGCAGGCTTGCAGGTAGGCTCTGCACCAGACAGACACCCCCGGGGTGCTGCAGGTCACGAGCTACACAAATGGGTAAAAACATGCAGGAAAAGTTGCATGGCATCTGTCTGTGGCAAGCTTATTTCAAGTCCTTTGCCATTAATAAATTCAGTGAATTCAATTAGTTAAATAACAAAGTTAACTTGTTAATATCCAGTCTGTAAGTGCTATTTGTTTAACCATTCAGACAGCAACACATGCACAGAGCTCCAAAACAGCCCAAGTAACCTGAGTCATTACTACAGACCCACATACATTATGATTCACATGTCTTCTCTGAGTAATTAGATTAATTCACGTTTTTTGTTGGCCACAGCAACCCTGAACTTCAGTAACATCTATGGTTAGAAGTCACATGAGTCAAATGAAGGTTAACCTCTTACAAGACTTTTTGCCCATTCTTTTTTGGTCTGTGTAAGTCTAGTAAGTGAAATTTAATCTATCATTCCTATTCATATTCATTCTGATAGCTTAAAACAGTTACCACACCAATGCCATCTCTATTTGTGTGCCAGCTTACATACATACTAACTAGGACAGCGAAAGCTCCTTCCACCTCTCTATTCTTCCCTTTTAATAAAAATACAGACATCTAACGGCACACTCAAACAGACCTGTCAAATCACACTGCCTAGCAGAACTGCATTCTCTCAGCCCAACTATTTAAAGAAAAATTAACATACTTCATCAAGTAACAATTATTTTTCGGGTACTGTCACATTCTGCAGTACTTCACAATCCAGGTGCCACAACTTCCATCTACGATTTTATTCCGAAACATTAACCAACAGATTTCTTACCTCATCATTGATGACCTCAGATTGTTCTTCCTCTTCTTCCTCCTCCAGATCCAAGTCATTTTGCCTCAGGTATGCTTGCAGTGGAACACAATGTTTCTTCTTAAAAGCTAAAAAATCCATCATATTCCCTTGAAGATGTTGCAGGAAAAACAGTTCAATCAAACATTCCTTAAAAGTTTCCTTAAGAATTTCCATCTGCTTGTGGTGATGATCCAAACATTGTTTTCTCATTTGAGCAGTCTCTTGGTTGGCAGGAGGAATCTCCTCCAATTTTTTGGGTTGTTTTTTCATGGCCGTATTAACTGTAGGAGTAAGAGGAAGACTTGACAGCCCCTGTGGTACAGTGGCCCGTGAGGGACTTGTGGGAGGAGGTGGTGATGTCATTCCAAATGCACTAGGTCCTCCAACTCCTGCTATCAATCCACCAGAAGTCCTGTCATATCCAATGGGTCTACCCAGCTGCTGCCCTTGAAGTACTTGCTGCTGCTGTTGCATAAGTTGCCCTTGGATAATATTGCTGATTTGGGGCGGCAAGCTGGTCGTCGTAATATGGCCCGGGCTAGTCAAAGACTGCATATTTGCTCCGCTAGCTACAGGACTTTGAGGACCAAGATGATGAATGGTGCCACCAGACTGCGAATGAGGCTGGGAAAGCCTGCGTTCCCTCACCGTAGCAGGCGTCCCAGACGATGGAAGCTGCACCTGTGCAGCAGCTCCTTGAGCAATTTGGGCAATTCCCGGTCCTTCCTGATAAACGAAGTGTCCACCGTTTGAAGGACTCAAGCTGATCTGTCTCACCAGCACACTAGCATCTACAAACCCTCTAGTAGGGCTCTGGCTGCACATCCCCAAGCCGGGGCCTGGAGTGCCTGCCCGAACATTGGGTAACGTTTGCACTGGCACAGGGTTAGGCTGCGTCGGGCTCTGAGACTGGACTTGCTGAGGCAGCGGCGACGTGACTTGAATGTACGAGGGGGATCCATGCTCGAACCGCCTCTGCTGGGGGCTGAACTGAAAACTCGGTGACGTGGGGTTTGGAATTGGCAATGGGGTAAGCGTTATCTGCTGGTTTCCTGAAGCCACCGGCCCAACGTTCTGCAGCGTGATGTTCACATTCTGCCCCGCTACGGGACTGCGACTCATTATGAACTGCTGTATTTGGTAACTGGGGGACTGGGGTGCAGATGGACTTGCAGAAGGCGCAAAAGAAGCTGCAGGGGACTGGGGTAAATTTGCCTGCTGCTCTTCTCCCTCACTGCCTGTGAAGGACCTGGACCTCTGGAGCTGGCGCTGGGCATTCTGAGGACCATTACCATGGTGCATTCTCACTGTTCTAGGTTTTTACAGTACACTCTAAAGAAATACACAAAAACAGAAATTCAGGGAAGGTAAAAATATTTCTGTAACTGAAACTATTTAGTCACTATTCGAAAGACTACTTTATAGTAAGAGCTCGGTTATCCTGTCTTTGCAGTTACTTACAATGTTTTATGTCCTCAGTCAAATTATCCAAAACCCTCAGCACCACAAAAGCTCACTTAAATCCCTCATACATTTCTCTAGCGAACAAAGTGCTACTGAATAGTTTTACAGCTGATACACTCCGCTTAGCTAGTTAGAGCAACTTCAAATAATTTAAAAAAATCCTTGTTCTCTTTCTGTGGAACTTCAAGAAGCAAAAGTCTCCAATATCAAAAGTTTGTACTCTCTTTTTGTGTTCATTATCCCAAATGTTTCAATGCTTTTAACATTTAATACGATGCTCTCCAAAATGTAATAGCTGCTTAAAACGTACAGTATGTTTCTCCAACAATAACTAAAAACATGATAAAAATGGACACAGACTATTCAACTTTATTGTTCAAGCTATGGAGGAAAAAAACACATCATGAAAAATCTCCCTACCAACTCATCTAGCTGTTTGAGAAAGTATTGTACTTGATACTTAACTCTACCTTCAGAACACTAACCCCTTAAAGAGATGAAAATTAATCCAAATCTGTATTTCATTTAAAATGCTGTTTATTGAGCCAAGCCAATTCTGGCTGTGCATGTCAATCGTTGACAAGCCAAAATTCCACTGACAGGTAGGTTCAGCGCTGGGTGTCACACAGCAGTAGCAGCAAAAGAAAAATGAAAGCCGATTTTTTTTTTCTCTCATATTTTGAAAAGAACACTTTCATTTTTGGTATTCCAAGCCAAACACACACACAAGGGTGCTGCCATTCGGCTTTGCTCCGCTCTCCGAGTTGGCTACAAGTGGCAACAGGCAGGAGCACATCACCACGGCAGCACTACTGGGAAGGGACGCGACGCAGCGGCAGACTGACCGTCCGCTCCTCCTCCGTTGCTCAGGCAGGGAACACAACACAACTCTCCCGCTCCCTTGTCCTGGGCTATCCGCAGCAATCTCCTCAAGCCCCGGGGACGGAGATATTCCCTTCCTTGCCCCCGGAAAAGAGTCGGCTTCCCGGGAAGGTGAGGAAGCCGAGCAGCGCTGTCACACACGTGCTAGCGACAGGAGGCTGCAGGAGAGGAAAGGGGCTGCTGGAGAGTACAAGATCTCACAACCCAGGGAGGTACCACGGAGCGCAGCCTGCACAGGAACTAAACATAGTTCTGGGCAGGTTTCGTCTCTCCCGCTCCTCGGAGCTCAAATCCGAGGGAGAGCCCTCAGCAGAGCGGGAAGGAAAAAAAAAAAAATCCGCTCCTTACAGGCACCTTTTCCAAAAGATTTAATAATACTGCAATACTTCGCGGTATTGTGACTCTTTCATAGCACTGATACCAATTAATTAAGATTCAAAAGATACCACCTATCGCCAGGAACAAGGTCTTATTATTTTAATTACCCATACCTCGCTAACATTCACGGCCCAAGTAAAAACACTTAATTAATTACGCGCTGATAAGAAAGCGTCACCAGCGCGCTGCCGGCCGCTGCCCGCCCGGGGAGAACA